GGGGGAGGGGAGGGGGGCTAAAAAGAGGGGGGGGGGCTTAACAAATTTCTTCCTATAAAAAAAGGGGGCTTGTTAGAGGTTTAAGGTTTGGTGTTGTATTTATATATATAATAATTTGCAGTGGCATACGAATATTTATTACGCATTAGGTTCGATATATCAGTAGGATAAAGCCGTCAATAAAAACCACACTCAGTGACGCGATACGATATCACGGTAAACTGGAAACTGTGAGTTTTGTTATTGTATCGACCTTAAATGTGTAATAAACAAATTATTACATGTTAAGAGTCTGATACGTTATTTACTTACTCGTTTTTCCCAATAACATATCGCTCACTCGCTCGCAGACTCCCTTGTTTACGATATATGGAAACCCGTGATAAAAACGATATCAAGCTCTTAACATGTGATAATTTACATGTTTGAAATAGATGTCATAACTTACAACAGGATAAAAAATATTATTAATCGTGGAAATTGTAATGAATGATATCATCATCCAGTCTACACCATCTGGCGTCTGATAAAGACTAGTAGTTTGCAGTCGAAACGTCGCGGGCCTCTACCAATGAATGACCCTCAATCGTGAGACAAATGAATAAGTATCATTTATTAACTTACAACAGGGGCAGATCCATGGGTGGTAAAATAGGTGACTAGTCACCCCCTTTTGCTCCGAATTTCTCAGTATATCGTTAGTAACATTCACCGTTCTAAAATTGCTGGATCCGCCCCTGTACAATATCGTTTCCCACTCTGCAAGTGACCACACGTAACGGTACTAACCGTACTAGGTGGACTTGTGTTAGTGCCTATTAACAAAGAAAAACAGACTCATCCCTATTGAAAGGGAATCTGAGGTCACTTACATTATAGAGTCATTTACTACAACTACCAGAATCCTAGCTTTTTATACATTAGCCTAACTTATTTTTTATTACTTATGCTTTTATAATCTATTTTAATATATTGTCCTATTTTTCCAATTCTAATGCGAGAGAGTTTTCCTGGAGCATATTTAATTTAATTAAGTGTGCAATAAAGATTATCATTATTATTATTTATCCCTTGCGCAGTTTCTTTTGTTCAGTTAGTTGAGCACCAATTGTCTTATTATTTTCATGAGGAAATGCAGATTTGAATAAGAAAGAAAATCCGCGAAGAATCTTGGTAGTGGTAGTATAAAATGACGCCATCATGCAAAAGGCCTATTCCCAGTGAAGCTTAATTTGGGGGTACAAATTGAAACTCATTGATTTGTCATTGCTTCAGTGAGAACAGTTTCTCCTACATTCCTGTTTTGTCGTTTGTTTCTTTCTGCCTCGGCGTTCATTTCGGTTTTGATATAGAAGGCAATGCTTGGAGTTATCACTGTGCTGTGGAGAGGCAGTAGACGGCTTTTGAAGGACGGAAGCTTTCTTTTTACTCCTCTACGGATGTCTGAAAGTCGAATGGCGTAGATGAGAGGGTTGACAAAAGATTGCAAATGAAGAAATGTCAACCAGAATGGCGATACGTGACGTTCGTACTGTGTTGTCCAAGCGTCTGGTTTGGCTGTCCCTACGACGTTTACAACCACTTTAAGRAAGGTTAAGCACAACATAAGCTACCAATCCTAGTAACAAGGTCGAGTTGCGCTTAGATTCCCTTTTTCTGGACTGGAGTGATGTGGGATGGACCGCAATTATTTGGGCAACAATGACTCTTCTCTGCTGACGAACAATGGCRAATACTCTTAAGGAGCAGAAGACAATGACTGCTGATAGAAGAACGAGAATGATAAAACCAATACTATTCCTTAGGGCAACAGAACCAGTGTCCTTCAAGTTTTGTACTAAGATCGATGATGCGATGATAAGCCAGCCTACCGCAAATACTTTGATGATTTCTGCTTGCTATTGGATGGGTACGTTAACGGGTTTTGGGTGTGAAGATATCTTTCTGAGCTGACCAACGCAAGAGCGAAAAGACTCAAACGACCGGTTAACAGGGCTGTAATGACGTAAGCATTCCTAAGCTCGCAAAAGGCAAAGCAGTCCGACAAATGACAGACAGAAAACGAAATAAAAAGAGGTTGTACTACCAAACCTGTTAACATGTCACTCAGAGAAAGTATGGCGACCAAGATATTATAGTTATAGAAGATCGAAGACGTGGACTCTCTAGCACCGTCCACATGACTAACAAGTTGACCATGAATGTTGGCAAAGCTGCAAGCCCATTGAGGACAGCAAAACAAACCAAGTTTACTGGGAGAGATGGCGAATGAAGGCCTGAATCTTGAAATGGAAATTGCGTACCTAGGCTCAGACTGCATTGGACGCAAGTAAAGTTGTCGATACTACATGTCATCTTCGAAAGCCGAACTCGACTCATTTGATGGGCTTGATTTGGAATATATTCATACGCAAATTAAACACTTTATTAGGAATCTCAGGAAATGGAAAAACGCCTTAGTTTATATATTTTGATAAAAAGCGCAGAAGGCCATTGCCAGTCATTTGGTCTCTCATTTTGCAATTGAGATTTGATTTTTAATAGTATGTGGGTCTTCCATAAGATAATTAGGATATCAATACCGGCTTTTATAAATAAACTCTTAATGAAAAACAGTGGAAGTCTACCCTCTATTGTCTTTAACTCATAAGCCTCGACTTAAAGAGATGCAAATCGAGTTGAAAAAAGCTCGAATTCATTTTAGTTTGTCAGTAAGTTTTTTCATCTTTTCACGGTGCATAATTTACCCTTTTATCATTACTGTTTCATTAGAAACACCGACGCAGCTCACACTAGTTTTTAGCTAGTTATT